GCCGCCGCCGCTGCTGTTGCCGCTCGCGCTGCTCGCACTGCTGGGAGGCGGCGGCTGCTCCCCGGCGCTGCCCCCCGGCTGCAAGCAAGACGGGCGGCCCCGAGGGGCCGGCAGGTCGGCAGGCGCCGCCGAGGGCAAGGTGGTGTGCAGCAGCCTGGAGCTCGCGCAGGTCCTGCCCCCGGACACGCTGCCCAACCGCACGGTCACCCTGTGAGTAGCCCGGGGAAGCACCTCTGCGCCCGCGTCTCTCCCGGCTCTTTATCTAGCGCCTGCTGCTCTCTGCGCAACTTTGGAAAGGGTCCTGCCGGCACCCACGCGCCTTTGTGTGAATGGCGTTGCCAGTTGGGGGGGTCGGGCTGATGATGGAACCCCTCAGTTTGTTTGGCATGAGTGCATTTTAGGGGGTGGCAAGTGACTCTGCCTCGAGTTGCGTTCCAGCTTCGCTAAGTTTTCTAAGTAGAAGTTTTTCGGGCTCCTAGGCGCGCCCTGCGCAGTCCTGGGCGCAGCGCTTCTGTTGCTGCGCGGAGCCACGTGAGGATGCAAGTCAACACGCATTCGGCAGTTAAAGCTCATTCATCCCGGGCTTGAGCGCTCGGAAAACTCAGTGCTCTATTAGAAGCCCTAGTCCTTCAGCGTCTGTGCCAATTAAGTTACCCTTTTGTTGATAGAGTTTGCGGAATATCAAAATATAAAGACTATGAACGCTCTTGTGTGTGATTCCTCAAGCCCCGAAACAGTTCCCTTGCTGTTTGTTGTCTTAGTTTTATTACAGTTACGGAACCGCTTTTACCATTCAGTTGCTATTAAGGACAAGAAATAGATTTGAGATGAAGTCATGCACCTTTGCATCCCGTTTCATGGACTTTGGAATCGAAAACTGGTTTGTTGAGCAGCCATCCACCCACCTCGAGAGGCTTGATTTTCAGATTGAGTTTCAGCCTAGAAGGAAAAGTTGAGGTCTCATAACTCACTTTATGCTGGGATTCGAGGTCTAGTTTTGAAGCATGGTTTGTGCTCATTATAGCTGAGCAATTGGCCCCCGTGACTCTTGATTTTACACTCTGTGAACGATGAATTGGTTTGGAAACGTTTAAGCCTAAGTGCTTCTAATGGCTGTTTTGCCAACTAACTGAAACATGAGTCCCCTGGCTCAGTGTTCCTCCATGTTGTTTTGGTTGGTTTCCTAAAAAAGAATCAAGGCTGCCACTATAAAAACATAAAGGCAGGGGTATCAACATGACCTGTGAAAAAACTATACATACAGCTTTTATTTTTGGCCAAGTTAAGCAAGAGTGTGAGATAGGTATACATGCCAGTGTTAACACTTTTGAGCATTCTTCAGGTGGCCCAGTGGTTAAGCACTCTGCCGCCAACAGAAAGGTCAGTGGTTGGAACCCACTAGCCGCTTCAGCCCACTAGCCGCTCTGCAGGAGAAAGATGTGGCAGTCTGCTTCTGTAAAGATTTACAGCCTTGGAAGCCCAGGGGGACAGTTCTACCATCTGTAGGGTTGCTATGAGTTGGATTCTACTTGATGGCAACGGGTTTGGTTTGGTGCCTTCTTTATTTCAATTTAATGTTTAGCACAGGAAAAATGTGCTGTTTTGTCTGCTTAAGGAGGCATGAAGATGGGTAGGACAAAACTTTGCTTTGTTTGCTTTCTTTACCAGCACTTTACCATTTGGTGACTGCAGCGGTTGTATTTTTTTTTTTTTTTGCCAGAGCCTTTGAAGTGGCTGGAGATGCCCCTTGTTACCGCAGAAGTTAGCCCACAACTAAGCAGTGATGTTGTAAACTTTTGGGTTCTGGATCAGTGGCACTTGAGTCATGTTTAGGTCCAGTTTTTCTGAAATGTCAGCAATTCCAGCTGGATTAGGTCAACTGCTTGTAAATATTTGATTTTGCTTTGTAGGAAAAAAATAGATGATATTGTAGAAAATCACATTTTAGGCATACTATGAGTTAAAATACTTCTAGTGAATTTTTCATGAGCTGATGTGCCAAAATATAAACCAGCTGCCACCGAGTTGACTCTGACTCAAGATGACTTCGTGTGTCAGAGTAGAAATGTGCTCCAGAGGGTTTTCAGTGGCTGGTTTTTTGGAAGTAAATTGCCAGACCCACTGCTGGGTGGACTTGAACTTCCAGCCTTTTGATTAGCAGCTGAGTTGTAAATGTTATCATTCTAATACATTTCTTTTTGCACTTGGAAGCTTTATAGAGGCAAATAAAATTAATAAAATAAAATGAATGGGAAGAAATTGCAATTTATTTAAGGATCAAATAAAGCTAAAGTTGTGGATGAAGTTGGTTCAGGTACTTGAGAGTGGTAGAGGGACTTATGGTCCAGCCCCATCATCGTTCTAGTGCAGGAATCGGAGGATCACTATGCATAAGTGACTTGCCCAAGTTCCCATAGTGAGTTAGCCTTGTGTTCCCTCTCCTAGACTCCTGCCCTGCAGTTTAGATGATTTCTCATCTTGCCCCCCACTTTCATCTTTCCTCTTAAGTTCAGCACAGTTTTTGTTGAGTGATTCCTAGGTGGCAGGTAACATTGCAAGATTTGGAATATAAATATAATGTGGTTCTTCTTCTCCAGGAACTTACAGGTGTTTGGGGGAAAAGGTGCATGAAGTAAAGTCTTAGAACACCCCTATGACAGTGGGGTGGCAAAAGGAACCCAGAAGAGGGCAACCATGGCCACCTTGGGGTGCAGTTGGTGAGATGGAGGATCCAGGGTAGCTTCCTGAACCCATTGGGGAAGAATGAAAAGATCATTGTGAAGAAAATGGCGAGGGGGTGAAGGGAGGAAATGAGGGCGTGGGAGATGGGAAGGACCCCAGCGTGCACGCAGGCTTGGAGAGGGCAGTGTCTGGTTGTGGTGCTGTGCGGCTGGTGTTGCTGGAATGTCAAGGGCAAGTGACCAGTGCACAGAGTGGTTGAAGGGCAGGTGGGGGACCAGGTCAAGGGTGAGCAGGGCTCTCTGGTTTGAGCTTTTGTATAAAACCCTTTGGCATGTCCAAGCTTTTTAAGCCAAGCCTGGGGTAGAGCTGCTACGTGGAAAATTAACTGATGGGAATTGGGAGAATTTAAGGATTTTTTTTTTTCTTCTATTTTTAATGAAAAACAAAGCTATTTCTCTTTAGTGGGTGGACTGGGCTTCCGCGTAGCCCAAAGCTCAGGCCCTTCAACAGTCTTAGGAAGAAGACTGATTTCCATAGCCACATTTATTGAGAAGGGTCTGGCAGAAATCCTTGACTTGACCACATTTGTTCCGTGTATCTCATCTAGCCTTTTGTATTGAAGGATGAGAATGTATTTATTATTTTAACATGTAAATGGAATCAGTTTACCACCGTTTGATGTTTTTGTTGGAAATATAAATTATTCACTGTGTTCTTGTGTTTCATATTTCATTGGAAATGTAGTTCAATATTTTAAGTTTTAAAAATTTCCTAACAATGCTACATGGTAATTTTAGACATTCCTTTTTTTTTTTTTTTTTAATAACTTGGGGATGAATTTCAGATTTCTCTTAGACTATTTAACAAACTGCAATAGTGCATGAATTTTGGTTTTTACTTTATAAAATGTTATGTTTGTTTCCTATGAAAGAACTGATCATTAGTTAGATATGGCCATTGTGCCCAGCTCAGTACTAGATACAAGAAAAAGAATGCTTGTCTTGTCCAGAAGGTTAAACCTAGTTGGGGAGGAAGGACTTGCATAATAGGAAGCAGACATTTAGGGAACAGTTATAGAATGTCTGTAATTAAGTCATAAATCCTGTACTGCAGACTATTTAAATGCTTTAGGAAGGCTGAAAAAGGAAGAGATCAATGTGACTTCAGAGTCACTGGAGGATTTTTTATTTTCCTGGAGAAGTTAGGACTTGAGCAAGGCCTGAAGGAAGGGAAAGGCTGGACTGGATTGGGGTGAGAGGGTGAAGGCATTCGTGCATTAAGTGGGAGGTGTGGGCCACTGGCTGGCTCAGCTGAAGTGGAGGGACTGTGTTGGGGGAATAATGGACAGACAGCTTTGGGAATCATTGGCCTGTGTTGTTGTTGACCATTGCTGTTGAGTCGATTCTTACTCATAGCGACCCTGTAGGATAGAGTGGAACTGCTCCGTAGGATTTCCAAGGTTATAATCTTCACGGAAGCAGACTGCCACATCTTTCTCCTGCGGAGCTGCTTATGGGTTCGAACCACTGACCTTTTGGTTAGCAGCTGAGCGCATAACCACTGCACCACCAGGGCTCTGTTGTTAGTTACCATCAAGTTGATTCTGACTCGTAGCAACCCCATGTGATAGAGTAGAACTACTCCATGGGGTTTTCAAGTCTGTGACCTTTCTGAAGCACATCACCAGACCTTACTTCCGAGGCACCTTTGGGTGGGTTTGAACTGCCAACCTTTCAGTTAGTAGTCCAGTGCTTTAACCCTTTGTGCCACCCAAGGACTCTTCGTTAGCCTATACGTGGTATTTAAAGCATGGGCCTGATGAGTTAGGGAAGAGTGTGCAGATGGGAAAAGGAGATGGCTCTGGCAGAACCCAGAACAGTGAAGAGGCCTGAAAAGGAGGCTGAGGAGGAGCAGCCAGTGATGCTGAGGTGAGAAAACAGGAGAATCTGGTTGCAGAATCCAGGAGAGGTAAGTTTCAAGACATAATGGTGGTGACCTATTGGCAAACTGCTGAGAGATCTAATGCTGTAAGATGTTGGGGAAAAGTTACTAAAAACAAAATCTACTCCCAACCCAGAAAACCTCCACAAGAATAGAAGGAAAACTTTTATTATTGAATGTGATGCATCACAGGCAGTCTGCTAAAGAGATTGCAAAGACAGAAAGGAATCTTAACCAATATATAGCTAAACAGATACAACCTATTACATTCATGTTATTAACTTAATATTGCTAATTTTCTAGTATCTTTATGGCAGGAGGTAGATTTGCAGTTTGGGACTGGGCCACTGGAAGATATCTCCTTCTACGGGGAGGACTTCCTGAAATTACATTTCAGAGAGGTAGCTGCCAGATCCTTGAGGAGACCTCTTAGAATTGTATACTTTTCAAAGAGACAAAGAAAATATAATGACAAGTTATTTTCAACAGGGAAAATTAAAACCAGAATGATATTTAGAGGCGAGGACTATTAGACATGTCTCATGTACTTTGAACATGATATCAGGAGGGATCAGTCCCTGGAGAAG